CAGAGGGATGGAACAGCGCTGCTGTGAGAACAGGCTGAGAGAGTTGGGGTTGTTCAGCCTGGAGAAGAGAAGGCTCCGGGGAGACCTTATGGCAGCCTTCCAGTACTTAAAGGGGGCTTCTAAGAAAGATGGGGACAGACTTTTTATCAGGGCCTGTAGCAATAGGACAAGGGGTAATGGTTTTAAACTAAAAGAGGGCTGATTCAGACTAAATATAAGGAAGAAATGTTTTGTAATGAGGGTGGTGAAACACGGGCACAGCTTGCCCACAGAGGTGGTAGATGCCCCATCCCTGGAAACCTTCAAGGTCAGTTCCTATGGGGCTCTGAGCAACCTGATGTAGTTGAAGATACCTCTGGGTTTGGAGGGGTAGATAGCAGGGGGGTTGGACTATATGACCTTTACAGGTCCCTTTCAACCCAAACTATTCTATGATTCCAGTTCACTGTGAAGCGTTGACCCCAAAATTGGAGATCTCTTTTTATTTCACTGAGACACTCTAGAACGTGATATAATCTTTGCTGTCATGGTAGATTTCTTCTTATTAAACTCTTTTCGTGATTCTTCCTATTTGTATATGTTACGGCTCAACCAGGACTGCCTTGAAAACAAGCCAGTTGGCAAATGGAAATACTGCACATTTTAAAAGGGCCTTGTGAAATGTGTAGAAGAGCTCCAGTTCCTCTTTAAAGTGTCCTGACGGAGACACGGGGCCAAAAATGAAGTAATCTGGTCATTAGCAAAGTCTGACTCAATTGGTATATCATGTAAATCAACAACTCTGGTATCTTTTTTAACAGATACATAAGCTATTTATACAGGTCAGTAAGAAAAAGAAAAAGATGAGCTAGCTCAATGGTATGTGGTGGTATATTTGTGTATGAAGGAGTAAGTTGGAAAGTCTTGACTGGTGTGATATGAAATAGAATTTGCTTTTATGGAGCACCTTTTATACTGCAGATACAGTAAGTCTTCACTAGTGAGATCAGTGGTGAAAATAAAGTCATTGCCTCTTTAACTAAAACAGAGAAAAATGGATGCAGCACTGTCTTGGATACCCATGGACTTTTACCCACTTGAAATCAAAAAGGATGAGACATAGGGTTCTTTTTTCTTTTCAGGAAACATAAGACTATAACTACCAGCTTACCTGAAGACGGCCTTGATTTAACATAAATAAAGGTCATAAAAAACATTTGAGTGGTACAAATTCACCTCAGCGCTATTAACATTGGGTTAGAGTCCAAATCTTGCTTCAGATATAGACCTATGATTTGAGGTAAGATGTGGGGATTTGCTGTAAATACCATCTGTTTATAGTTTCTGCAACACATTACAAGTAATTTTGGTGGAAACTTGCCAATGTTAGAGCAAGGGAATCCGACCTCTAATTTCAGTTCTGTATTAAAGCTACTATCCTTTGCTTTGTTTAACTTTCAGCTTTTTAATATACTAAATAATTTTGGAGCTAAACTCCTTTCTGCTCTTTCTTCCAATATGTCTGTTAATTCTTAAATGTGCATTAGCCCTGTAGTGTCTGGTAGTTGCCATAAGAGGGCTTTGAACAGTAAAATATGCTTATTTCCAGCTCCTACTTTGGTAGAAACCAGGTATCTGACTTTCACTGGATCCCTAAGGGCAGTTTTTTATCTTCTCCCTGATGTCTTTGTTCCTCAATGAAGTCCTGATCCTTCTCTTTTGCTGGTGAGGGATTTCAGAGAGACTTTTAATTGCGGATTGTCCAAGCCAGCTGAAGGACAGATTGGTTAGAGCAGTTTTTCTTTCGCGGTGGTGTCAGAGGTGCTAATTCTGAAGGTTGTGTCTTCAGGTTTTTTTTAGTAAACCTGCTCAATTACAGATCTGAAGAACCTGCTTTAGCTGGTCTTGTCAGGAGGTTCTGAGAGGTTTGGTGCATTGCCAGCAAGGAAGATGCCTGGGCATCTCCTGCCTGAGCATCTGCTGCTTCCTGAGAGGAAATAAGCACAGGTGCCTTAGCTGCAGGCACCTTCAATCAGACTAGTTATTTGAGTCCGTGTATTCCCAAATATTACTTTAGTATTTCTTGATGATCTAAGCTTGTTATTACATTGTACTATATTGTACTATATTGTACAAATGTTGCAGCTGATCACTGTACTTGCATGGGTCAGAGTTGTTGCAAGTCAACGATAAATAGCGAAATGTGCATGTGGTTCGTGTTCTACACTCCAGTGTTGGCATTTATTCTTTTTTTTTTTAGGCTTTTTCCACATTAAAGTATGGGCGGTAAGAATAAATTTCTTAGAAATTAAAGCTCATGTTCTCTGCTATATGATGCAGATAATA